GATACTTACGTTTCATCTTTTCCTCGGGCACCAAGCACCTCTGATTCTGTGCGATTAAAGTGTAGGGAGATGCTTGCCGCAGCTCTCCGAACAGGAGGTAAGTTTAGGGTTACTTGTTCGCTCTTTAGCCCCTTCTACGACCACTGCCACCTCTACTTCCATGTTGATGTTTTATGGGTGTCATCCTGCTGATAGCTGCCCACCTCTGCTCAGCTTGGAAGCTGTTGCTAGTGGTAGTTCTCGAGGGTAGAAGAAGAGGAGCACTTAGACACTGTATAGTTACCGTATGATTTCAACAGATGGAATTCTTGTAGTATATTAATTTTTTTCATGGTTTAGTAATTGAAGCTTTCCGTCCATAAGTATTTCCTGCCATTTTAATCTGTAAACTAATTACTCCAACCTTAGATTGAGCACTGACAAAACTGAATTGTTAAATGTTAATATGACATACAATATGATGCAAGTTTTGTATTCATAATTCAGTTTTCCATTTTTTTTAAGTTGGAAAAGCAAACTTGATTAAAATTTTTGTAGGAACTTCCTGTGAAGGACAAGTCTTTAGACATCTAAATTTTGCTTTAAATTGTTGTACAGTGAAACATCATGGTATCTCATAAATACTTAAATTTTACATTATCAGTTTAGAAAAAGTAACTTTCATTTGTAAGAATATTGGCCATTTTATACATGTTCATCCTTTTCCTTTTTAATTATGTCAAACCTTACCTAGTTGATCAATTTTTCTCTTTACTCTGCCCTTTCTACTTTTAATTTCCTTATTGCTCCTAATATTTTTTTTTCTACCTAATTCTATTTACTCCCTTCTAACTTTTTGAATGTATGTGAGGGTCTTTTGAGTATGTCTGTCCATGTGATTGGCAGATGAGATGAATGGTTTCTTTGCATTGAAGCCTGAGTCGCAGAATATAACTGTTCTGCTCTTCTCTCTGTTGGAACAACTAGGATTTGTGGAGTTGTGAAATGAGGAGTTGCCTGGTATATGAATTACTTGCTCACTCCTAAGGGAAAAGGGATCGTCATGCAGAAGCACTGTGGATTGTAGGTGAATTTCAGAGGAAAGGAGTGGTGGGCAGTGAGAAACTATCCTAATAAAACTAAAAGGATTCTTTATGTGAGGCAAATGGGGTTGAGGAAATAGGAATGGGTTTCTTACCTTATCCTGGAAATTTCTTTTAACATGTTATAATAACTTGTCAATTCTTTATTCCTGTTTCTAGATGACTATGTTGCTATTGGAGCTGATGACGAAGAACTAGGATCTCAGATTGAGGAAGATATCCTTTGTGTGCATAAATCATTTTAAGGAATCTTCTAGGTTAAGTGTAATTTTTCTTCTGGTGTGTAAGTCAAAGGCTTATTCTTTACTTTCCTGATTTTATTTTTCTTAGAAAGGAGAAGGGTGTTCATGTTGATATATTTTTCCCCCTCATTCAGAAATAAATAGAAATAAATAAATAAATAGAAATAAATGATGGCACCTTTTTTTCTGCCTTTGCAAATTTAGAATGTGGCATCTGAATTTAAGTTGTGCAGAGGGCAGGAAAAAATGTGAAGATAGCTCACTGGGAAGGGCTAATCCTGGCAGGAAATGTGTTCATGCCTGGTACCACAGAAAAGGCTCTGGGAGAAAAGTCTTACATGTGGGGAGGGGAATATCCAGGTAGCAGTGTAACATGGAACTGTTTTTTGTGAGGATTTGTGAAGTGCCTGCTAAACCAGCTTCCTGAAGCTTATGTAAATTTCGAGCTCTTTTTCAAACATTTGATCACTTGGGTTGTAACCGGGTTACTTTGAAATCATCTTGATTTGCATGCTTCTGACATGAAGCATTAAGAAAGAAGCAGCAGAGCTAAAGAGGTGGCTCCATGATTAAGAGTGCATATTGCACTACCGAGGCAAGAGTTCAGTTCCCAGCACCAATGGCAGGCAGCTCACAGTTGCCTGTAATTTCAGCTCCAAGGGGATCTGACACCTTTGAACTCCATGTGCATATTACTCTCAACTTTTTAAAGATTTAAAAATCTTTAAAAAGAAGAAAAATTAGCCATAGATTAACCCTACTTACCAATTACAGATGAACAAATCAGAAAGAATTAGCGCCTTATTTTCAATCTAAATTAGAAACAGTTTTTGTGAACTGCTTAAAATTTTTAAGATTTCTAATTTTGGCAGAACAGAAAATAAGTGTTCTTATCTTTATAATTGAAACATGTTTCCTTAATGGCCAAGTACCTATATATCAGGAAATAAGAAATACAGACATGAAATACAAGAACAGAGTACGAGAAACAGTTACTGCTTAAAATTTTTAAGATTTCTAATTTTGGCAGAACAGAAAATAAGTGTTCTTATCTTTATAATTGAAACATGTTTCCTTAATGGCCAAGTACCTATATATCAGGAAATAAGAAATAAGAAATACA